CTGGGCGTCCTTCCCAGCCTCTGCCGCCCCCTAGTGGCCTCTGACCGACACCTACCCTGGTCCTACGTACTCCCCCGACCCCCCGCCCCGCTCCCCAAGACCCCTGGGGGTGCCCGGGCAGTCTTCCCGCTCCCTCTCCGCGCGCGGCCCCTCCCGCGGGGCTGCGACCTCGCGGCTGCCTCACGGACACCTGCGGCCCCTGGCGCACCCTTCCCAGAGTCAGGGGCACGCGGAGGACGCCCACTTCCTCCTTCCACCGTTTTCCGGACCCGTCCGCGCCGCCTTCTGGAAACCTTGGTGGGGAAAGGGCAAATCCAGGCGGGGACCCCCTTCCAGAAAGCCTGCAAAGATACGCAAATACTGCACTGCGCAGGCTGCCCGCTCCGACTCCCCACTTGAACTCAGAAGGCCTGTCTTAATTGCTCCCCTTTTTCTATAATTGAGGGAAAGGGTCCACGCTACAGACGCATTCCTGGGCAGAGGCGCTCTCATTGGGCCCCAGCTGTGTGCAGGTCTGCCTTTGGGACCCTCGGAGGAGGTGAGCGGGCCTGGGGGCTTGAGCCAGGCTTGCAAAGAGCTCAAAGGGCTCTTCTGGGAAGAGGAGCCAGGTGGGGGAGGGGGGGAGGAGGTGGGGAAGGCTCCAGAACCCTCTGTGCTGGCCAAGGTGGATGGATAGCCCCCCTCACTGAAAGGCAGGCCGGGAAGTTTTTTGTTTTGCTTTCTGGACTGCATCTGGAGTTGAAGGTCCTGTTACTGAGGGTCTTAGCCATCTCCTCCTGTGTCTGCATTGGACTATCCATTCATCCTCTCAAACACCGGTTGTGTTCAGATCTAATGGGTAAGCAGGTTTCCTGAGTTCGGTGAGTCACTCTAGCAAATTAATTGAACCTGAGAAGGGGTTGTGCCTCTCTAATTTATACCTGCTTGGTCAGTATAGGTACCAGCTGGACTTACAACTGGTCTCAAGCTGACTTGAGAGACTGAGGCCTTAACCTTGAACCTGACACTGTCTCAGCTGATGTCTGGGTGGGAATTGCTCACTGACAGAGGACACACACACAGTAGAACTGGGTCCAGCAACTCATTCAGGATCTGCTCCAAATAGGAAATGGGTCTGAATGCTGAGCACCCCAAATGGACCATGTATAGTGTGGCTAGAGTGCATGAAATCATTTGATCTGGGAAGAATTGGCTTGAGAGAACCAAGTCTCTATTTGAACGGCTGCTCATATTGGCCTGGTTGAAATAAAAATCTCAACCACTTCTTGGAGGGTTGGCATGGACTCATAAACCTGTCTCAGTTTCCTCGTCTGTAATATATGATGTCAGGTCACATCAACTCACTCATCTCAGGTATTTAGCACAGAGCTTGGCATGTAGTGAGGGCTCAAGTGTGAACTGTGATAAACTGTGGGATTAAATCTTCTACTGAATATACGTTGAACTCTACAAACCCACTGGCCTTCTCCCAATCTTTTCTGTTGCTATCTCATTGTAGAACTGTGCTCACTTGAACTCAGAAGGCCTGTCTTAATTGCTCTATTTCTTTGCACACAACAGTTTCCTGTGGGTCTTTAATCATTTACTGCATGTATAACTTCACAGGGGGCTGTCGTATGCAGCCTTTACTTAACTTTCATTTATATATCTACTTTATGCGAGGCACGAGGAGCTCATTGAACAACTAAGTTTAGAGATTCAACCTCATGTAGTTGTACTGCACCGAGACCCGGTTACGGAGCAAGTGCTGTCTCAGTCTGGCTTGTTTTGCCAATGAGCCTGAGAATGAGATTTGCCTGCGGCCACCCGGATCTGTGATTCTGGGGTGTATGCTTATAACCAACAGTGGGAAGGGTTTTGTCCCCCAGTTTGGGCTGTAAGCTTCTGAAGGCCAGAGTCAGGTCTAATGTCATTCTGTTCCCTGTATCACCTGGTAAAGTCTTGGAGGAGGCAGGGGTGTAGGTTGGGGGCTGACGCATGAAGCAGCAAGCATTTTAGAACCGTAGCTGGAGAGCTCTTCAAATTTTTTGGTTTTGTTTTCTGATTCTATTTTTCCTTCTAGGAACACCAATGTCCATCTTGAGGTTTGACTTACACTTTAAAGTGTGTTCAACTGTTGACAGTGACCAGTCACAATAATATTACATTTTTTAAAAAAAATTATTTTTGAATAGTTTTAAATTTATAGTAAAATGACAAAGATGGTACAGAGTTCCCACCCATCCCCTCACCCAGTTTCTTCAATTTTTTTTTTTTTTTTGTTATCTAAAATCCTTTTGTTCCAGGAGCCCATCCAGGAAGCCAAGTCCATTTAGTTCTTGTCTCTTTAGGCTCCCCGTGGCTGTGAGTTTCTTAACCTTCCTGGCTTTTGATGACCGTGACAGTCTGCAAGGGTACATCACGTATTTTGTAGGCTGTCTCTTTGACAGGGATCTGCCCGCTTCTCACGTGATTAGAATGGCTGTGAGTTTGTGAGAGGGAGACCGTAAGAGCCATTCTGATCACATCGAAGATCTCTTCGGTCATCTGAACAGTGGCACTGCAACTGAACGCCAGGCTGAGGTAGTGCAATCCATGTTAGTAAGTGTAAACCCGGGCCCTCCCTGGTGGCGCAAGGGGTTAAGTCTCAGCACTATGAAGCTCTCAGTAGCCAGTGCATCATGAGTTCGATCCCTGGCCAAGGAGCTGACCCACAGGGCACAGCAGGCCTCTTCTGTCCCACCTTAAAGGGTTAAAATAAAAATGGTTTTCCAGTTTTCAGAAAAAGATTCAGTTAACATACAATGCCTGTTTTTTAAGACCAGTGTGATAATTTGAGGTTTTGGTGCAAAAGTCAATGGTGGTGTAAGTGTGTGTGTTGAGTGGGTGGGTGGGTGTGTAGTGTGTAGTATGCTTAGCAGTAAGGAGTGAGACTCCCTAACACAGTATTGTAGTCAAGCAAGTGGAAATCTGGGCCACTATCCTCGCCCTCCCTTCTCTAAGCACAAACCAAGTCAACAAATACACCTGTTTACCTCTGACAAGGTGTTTCTCAAGTTTGACCCTTGTAATTATGACAGCTCTATTCTGAGGCAAATCTGAGGGACTGATCATAGCAGTTAGGCAGGCTTACAGCTGTAGACACCTGTTCCTGCTCCCTGAACTCACACCAATTTGAAACAACATTAAGAAACAGATATACACTGGAGAATAAAGGTAGAAAGCCCTGAGTACCTTTTACAGCATCATCATAAAAATATCTGGGAAAGGAAAGACTAGACATATAAAGTGTTAAAGGTATTTATAAAGTCAGTTCTAATTTGTGATAAAGCAGATTAAAAACCCTTTGAAGCAATGTAAACAAGTTCATGGAGAATTTGAAGCCTAGTAATTGATACACAGCTTCCTCATTATTAATGAAGTAGTAAGACTGTAGCTTAATTCAAAAGCAATTATTTTCTAAAGTTGGGACTCAGACCAATGATGCCTAGCGTTAGCTAAAATCTCCCGCCCACACGGGACAAAGGGCAGTCTGCAGTGACGGGTAAAGACGGCTTTATGAGAAATCCCTAAAAATTACTCTCAAAATATCTCCTCCACTGGAGTTAGTTTACAAATGGAAATACAACTTTCGTGAGAGAAATTCAGACCTTTTGGCTACAACCTTCATACTTTACACACACACACACACAATCACACACACACACACACACACCATTGACTTTTGCATCAAAACCTCAACTTATCACACTGGTCTTAAAAAAACAGGCATTGTATGTTAACCACAAATGAAAGAATTTAACACTATTTTCTATGATACTGTCAGAAAGTTTGGTCATTGATTAAAAGAATTCGTTAACACAATAGAGAGTCTCCAATTAAAAACGAAACTGAAAAATTTCCCCATGGACAGGACACAAGTACCAGTTACTTCCTTGGTATCTCTTGAAATTCCATGAGAATCCAGAAATGAAAAAGAAAGTGACGGTAAACCTGATTCTAGCCGCCTGGCCATGGAAACCCCAGAAGCAGCACTAGGAAGTCTAAGACACCGCACACATTTTTTTCTCTCCTAAAATTTTAGAAAATTCCAAAGAACACACCCTGATCGTCTTTTTAGAGTTATCATTTAGAGGTTAGAATTACTTGCAAAACCAGTGCTGAGAGCAAATAAACATTTCTTACGGGTCCCTTCAAGTTCAGCTGTGGCGCTGACCTGGGCTGTGGTCACTACTGCCCTCCCCCTTCAGTACCCCCAGAGCACCCGCCTTTTTGTGCACCAGAAGCCGTAGACTGGGGACCAGACGGTGACAGGATTCTGAAGCATCTGTGAGAACTGCCAGCTAAGGGGAACGAGACAATGGGACATTGCTTTGCTGTGCTTTCCACGGACATGAACGCTCTTCATGCGTGACCATTATTTCCTAAAGAAATGCTAGTTCCTTTTTGCAGACAGCCTGGGCCTGCAGAAACGCACACACAGTCTTCGTTATAGGGGCAGCACGTGCCCTCACCACTATCTTCTTCCTGGATCCGTGTTCAGTTCAAAAGGAGAATGAGAAACGGCCCAGCGCTGACCAACGGCTTTAGTGACGTCATATGAGATGGCTCTTGCCTCTGCGGCACAGGTACAGTTTCTTTGTGGTGAGCAGCTGTGCCAGGCCATTGAGGAGCAGCAGCATGATGGTCAGCGACATGACAATCACGTAGTGGCTGATGCTACGGGAAGATAAATGTGCCACGTGGTAAGACACAGAGCTGCACAGTGGTGGATTCAAAACTGACATCAAAATGTTAAAACGGTTTGGTAGTGCTGATGAACATGAGTAACATCTTGAATTATTTCAATACCTGTAAGATTCTGTGAAGATACTTGCTTGGTATTCAGCAGTATACACACCTCTGTTAAACAGCAGAAACTGCATTTCCAAAAGCTTTTAGAAAAATCAAGATCTCCCCCCTTCTCTGTTCTTGGGCCCTCTGAACAACACTCACAGACGCTGCAGGCTGTTCCCGGGGAAGTGGGCTTCCCAGCCGGGCGTGGCTGTGTATAAGTACTTGATGATACCAGCCACAAGGGAGAGAAATATTAGTTAAACTCAGATTCTGTGAAGGGATAGCTTTAATCAAGTGATTTCTAAACATCTCTTCATTAATCTCACAGTTCACCTACTGTCTCCTAGACTTTTTGAAGAAAATAAGCTAGTAAAAACTATTAAAATTACTTAGTCCCAGCTCTCATTATCAGCAACAGTAAGCACTCGGCTTTTCTTTTTAAACACAGGAACTGTACTGCACAGAACATGACTTGATGATAAATTTAGCAATATGGGAAGAAATTTAGGACACAGGTCTGACAAACTGATGATTTAGCAAGGCGCTTCACGCAGTGATTCTAGTACAGTATGACCCCAGCCAAGCTACAGCGGGAGGTTATCTGTTTACAAGGCCTATCGGAGATTTAACTGATTCACACGCTTCACATCCTTCACGAAGGGGGCAGGGAGGAATGTTCTCAGGCCTAGACACGCTGGCTTGATAGAGGAAGTGATTTCCTTCCTTTTCCGTGAGTAGTAGTTCAAGAAGCCCCTACCAGGGGAAGTTCCACAGAACGAGCTCAGGGAACTTGCCTTGGGGCAGCTGGGAAGGTAACTGGTGCATGGGAACTAGACCAGTCATCTCGAGGGACTTGGAAGTTAGGAGAAAGGGTGAAAAACCCACAAGTTTTGGGGTCACTTTCCCCAGAACTTCAGTCCTTTAGGTAAGCAACCCCGCAATGTCAAACTATTGGCCCTCGGCCACCAAGCAGTCAGGTATTCACCAGCAGGCAGTTCCCGAGGTCAGCAGGGAGAGCGTTCTATTCTATGCAGATTGTATTTATTCATTTATTTAGTTTGCTCTAGCAGCAAAGCAGACAGGAGAGCAAAGAAATCTGTGAAACAGCTATGCAAGCTCTACCACCTGCCTGGAAGCCAGTCTTTTCAACCTCCTCTAATGACACAGGAACCTGATCAAGATTTAAAAGATGGGACTCAGACTGCATGGCCAAGGCCTGAAGGAAGAGATTAAATCCCTGCTTACAGATAAAACATCAATACATCTTTGGGTTAAAACAACTTAGAAACAGAAGCCCCTCCCTGTCAAGAATGCTTATATATATATTTTTTTAAAGGTTTATTTATTTATACATACAGAACTGGGGTACAGGCCAGAGGTGCAAGGGTGGTGAGTGGACCCACCAGAATCAGAGCAGGGAGCAGAACAGGCAGATCTATTGACATACACTGCTGAGGGGAGCAGTGGGCGAGACAGGAGAGGTCTGCCGCACCATGTGGGTCACCTCCAAGCCCGGGGATTGAACTCGCACTGAAACTGCTGTGACTAGCTTGCAGTGCTGTGTCCTAACCTGTTGCGCCACCAGAGAGGGTCTGGATGTTTATATTTTTAATGACAACAACTCACTGTTCCTTTCTATTTATACAAACTAAATTTAAGCTGGTGTATGTTGGAATAGTTCTCACAGTAAAGCATGTCAATATGTCCCAGGTTCGAATCCTCCTTTTGATTACTGAAGAAACTCTTTGTCTTAACTATCATTGTGACTTATTCCAGTTAGCAAGCTTTTAAGCAAGAACTTAAATTGTAAAGTTTCATAGCTTGATAAGGTTGTCTTTGGAAAGACAGTGGTTGTATATCCTTATTTAGAATCTAAGCCATCTTCTAAAGCAACTTTGATACTAAAAAAGAAAAGTTGACTAATTAAAAAACAAGAATTAGAATAATGATGTTAGCGATCTGGTTCTGGTCTCGCATAGACTTCTGAG